ATACTCCAGTAGTCATATAAAGTATTTAGGTAATTTTTTCCTTAAATGGTTTAATTTAAAGGGAATTCTGATGAACTTAGAACATTAATGTGAACACAAATCTGAAGATCAACTCGAGTATACAAAAGATGACATGGTTTTGATTAGACAGTGGTGGTCCTGTTTGTTTTTACTGTTTTACTTTCACAAGGCTTTTTTCTGTTTTGTATTATTTATGAAACAAAAAGTTAGGTATCCCAACTTTAATGTTTGGTATTGTGTCTTGCCGGTACGGGCTTCCCTTTTATATTATCTCTGTCTATTTGAGTCAACATAGCTTTAATGTAAGGGCTTCTGTTAGGATTAACACAGACCTATTATTACAGATATATGTTTGTTTGCCACTCTGTGTGAATAAACTGTATTTATTTTATTTCACACAATATCTCACAGCTACTCAGCTAAATGTCCAGATTGCTGCTCACATGATTTGAATACAAAGTGTATTTGTATAGCACAAAGGGAAACTCAAGTGCTTCACAAAACAGAATAATTACATCGTTGTTTATTACTATGCTGATGACAACTCCCCCGTATTCTGTGCCTCCACTCAGCAGAAGCTGCTTGTGGCGTGACTTTTATATGTCAAACAAAGAGGCGAGGTGGTCACTCTGTATCGACCAATCGGATGGCAGCATCACTCACAGTGTAATGGGACAATCACAGTGAGGTGCACATCTGGGCCCTATTTATAGTGCGCCACATCTGGGACCAGATCTGCTAATGCTGCAGGTGCATTTGGACAACGTGGTGGCCATTTCTTTATAAACATCCTCCGTAATGGATTTGCTGTAGATACTAATGCATGGTTAGTGGTTAAACGTACTGTATTAGTGTGCATTTATTAATAAGAAGGTGTGTTCTTGAACTCACTTTCTGAGAATGAAACATTGTATTTTTGGCAACAGTAATGCTAATGATAGGATAAGTATGTACAATAACATCAACATGTGCCGTTTTTGTTGTTGAGGCAAGTTTATTTTATTTGAACTGTGCTGTTTAAATAAATGGCAAATCAATCGGTTAAACAAAACGAGATATCAACAATCACACAAGGCTTTAAAATAACAAATAATCACAGTAAATCACATTATAAGTCTGTCTTACCTTTTCAGGAAGACTGTTAAATGTCTCTGTAAGAAACAAAGTATATTATACGGTATTCTCTAGTTTCACCAGAAACATTTACCAGGAGTATAGAGTAGGGTAGAAATATAGTATTAAATGTATACTTCTGTAGATAAATCTGTGATACACTCGAGTGTAAGTAAAATATTTTGAGCAACAGAATATTTAGGCACAGGAAGTATTAGAGCCCAGGTAGGCCCTTAATCCTAAAGGATTTACTATGCATCTCAAACATCAGGACCAAAAAGAAAACTATCCCAACGCCAGAAGTGTTACATAAACAGTGTTACATTGTTTGTATTCCTCAGAATGTCTGTCTGTGTCTAAAGCACCCTGAGTTGCTCCTGTGTTAGTGGTGCTTTGTAAATAATTGTCCTTGTCTATCAGTCCGTACTGGGCTGTCAGTACATTATTCTCTTTTGTGCACACTTTGTTGTTTGTTAGGTCAGATATTTGCAGAATGTTATATTGTTGTTTGTCACGGAGCAGCAGTGTGGAAGGGTGCAGATGGTGGCCATTTTACTCTGACATATCGATTGGTTTTATGCACTTGTTTCTCAACATGTGTCTGGACCGAACAGAGAGAAGCTCATGCATTTACATTACACTGACATATAAGGATCGATAACTAGACCATACTGGGAAGAACAGTTCCCCTGGGGATTAATTAACTTTGATCTATGTTGCAAATCTCATAAGGACAGGTACAGTACCTTTGTAGTACCTACAGTATATCCCGGATGTATTGTTGTTGGAATACTGTTGGACTCAAGGGATGGGGTCTGAGCTTTATTCAATGTTGCATTTATTTTTATGTTCAAACACCAAATCATATAATACAATATGATGACAAGACAATCCCACAAGTGTTCCATGGACTGACATTGTGCATGTGTGCTGTGGACAGTTCCACATGGGCAAAGAAAGTCAGGACTCACTGTCGGCCAGACAGCAAGTGAGGGGGCTTCCACCAATGTTAAATCGGAGTATGATCTAACATTGGAAGCTAAAGCCTTATTTAAGAAATATTTGTCTGGATTTTTGAATCATGCACCTGTGTAATCATCACAAGCTTTGGCGGAGGCTCATTTGACTGCTAGTTAACAGGGAAAGCACAGCTGTGCAGGTCTGTCCGCACGCCCACATTTACATATCCTTTTACCACAGTGGGACAGTGGTTCAGTTCGAGTGCTCATCAGACAGTATCCACTCACACTGCTTCTGTGCGATCTCACAAATATGAAGGCAATTTTCAGGTCTTCCAGCACAAAGGTTGTGGGTTCACTCCCTGGTTTAGGGGACTATTTGAATGTGCTTTTTTCTCCCTGTGTCCAGGTGGGTTTATTTATTGTGGTGGTTGGAAGGGCCAATGATGCCGATCGGGAAGTGATTGAATAGTAACTTCAATATAGTCCTTTGAGAGATTTCAACAAGGTTGTTAATCTCTTTACAAAGGCAAGGCATTATTGATTGACTGCGGAACCTTCCGCAGTCAACCATTGGTTTTGTATTTCTTTATTCCGTCATTTTTTTTGACACGTTTCACAGCTTTCACATTTTCAACAATTTCCACAAGTTATACATCAAAACGTTCCACATGTTTGGGAGATTATTGCTATTACTTTTGGGACTTCAGCGATTTCCGGTTTTTCCGCAATCGGACAAAAATCTGCATTGAGAATTCTGCAATGCATTTTAATAGGCCCATGCATTTTAATAGGACTTCAGCTCTTTCAGACATTTCTACAGTTTCAATGATTCAACAGTTTCAAGGATTCAACAGTTTCAAGGATTTCAGCAGTTTCAAGATTTCAAGAGTTTCAAGGACTTCAACAGTTTCAAGGACTTCAGCAGTTTCAAGGACTTCAGCAGTTTCAAGGACTTCAGCAGTTTCAAGGACTTCAGTGTAATCATGCAACCTAATAGGGATTTTTCCATGTAAACCAGTATAATGCAACTTAATAGGGATTTTTCCATGTAAACCAGTATAATGCAACTTAATAGGGTTTTTTCCATGTAAACCAGTACAATGCAACTTAATAGGGATTTTTCCATGTAAACCAGTATAATGCAACTTAATGGGGATTTTTCCATGTAAACCAGTATAATGCAACTTAATGGGGATTTTTCCATGTAAACCAGTATTATGCAACTTAATAGGGATTTTTCCATGTAAACCAGTATAATGCAACTTAATAGGGATTTTTCCATGTAAACCAGTATAATGCAACTTAATGGGGATTTTTCCATGTAAACCAGTATTATGCAACTTAATAGGGATTTTTCCATGTAAACCAGTATAATGCAACTTAATAGGGTTTTTTTCATGTAAACCAGTATAATGCAACTTAATAGGGTTTTTACATGTAAACCAGTATAATGGAACTTAATAGGGGTTTTTACATGTAAACCAGTATAATGGAACTTAATAGGGGTTTTTACATGTAAACCAGTATAATGCAACTTAATAAGGATTTTTACATGTAAACCACTATAATGTAACCTAATAGGGGTTTTTACATGTAAACCAGTATAAAGCAACTTAATAGGGATTTTTCCATGTAAACCAGTATAATGCAACTTAATAGGGTTTTTTTCATGTTAACCAGTATAATGCAACTTAATAGGGTTTTTTTCATGTAAACCAGTATAATGCAACTTAATAGGGTTTTTTCATGTATAATGCAACCTAATAGGTTGCATTATACCACCAGACCAAGACCCAAACGAAGACTCAGACCACCACCAGATAATGACCACAGACCAGGTTTCCTTAGTTACAGGAACCAAATTGTTTCAGCGGTGAGGGGATTTTTCAGTTTCAAGGACACTTTCAATACATTCAGTAGTTTCAAGGATTTCAGCTGTTTAAGAATTTAACCAGTTTCAAGGATATCAGGAGGTTCAAGGATTTCAGGAGTTTCCACACTTTCAACAGTTTCCAGGTTTAAAAAAGTTTCAAGGATTTCAGGAGTTTCAATTTTTCAACAGTTTCAAGGATTTCAGGAGTTTAAAGGTTTCAACAATTTCAAGGACTTCAGGAGTTTCAAATATCTATCAAGTATTTTAACAGTTTCAAGGCTTTTTAAAGGATTTCAAGGATTTTTTTTAGCAGATTTCCACATTAGATCTGTTCCGCAGTCAATCGCAATGGCTTCAGCCATTGCAAGTTTCTAGTTGTTATTGTTATTATGATACATTCAGCTGAATGCCATGACCGTTATTAGTTTTTATAACTCCACATACCCAGAGCTATGCTTCTGTTTGCCATGCTAACACATTCACAATGTCCTGATCCGACAATCAGGACATATTCAAATTAGTCTACCTTAGCAACTGTGGCATTAATCATAATCTAGTGAACTTGACACTGACAGTTGTCATTTTAATATTTGTTTTCACAGATGAACAAGTCACAAACACACACACGTCCAGGCTACTAATTGGGTATATGTGTATACTGTATATTGGCATTTTTACAATATGAGAATACATTTTAGAAATGACTCTTTCATTCATAAGTACCATCCACATACAAGTGATGTGCCTGTAAAGAGGCTGTTAGGGGCAGGATCTGGAGAGGAACCTCTACCACCTCTAACTCCAGCCTTTATGCGAATGAGTAACATGTAAAACTCAACTTCTTAAAAAGATCCAGATGCTGTAACAGTTGCTCGTGCCTGTTTTCAAGTACATCTTTTATAAGCGTCTAATTGACTGTGAGATGGAGCACTGTATGTGTATTTTGACTTTGAGGATGGTTCTCTTCACTTCCTCTCCCGTTTAAAGCAGAGGCTCCACGCTCATAGATGTGTCAGATGTGCTGATGCCAGATGCCTGCTCAGCTGCTCCTCTCTGCTCCACACGGCCAGCTGCTCGTCTCTATTCAGGGTTGGGGGGTTGGGCACAGGGTGGTCCAAATAAACTTATGTGCTGCAGCTTCTGACAGACTTGCAATTATGGAAATTAATTATTGTATATGTATCTATTTATATTTACTAATGACCACTGGGGCGACAGTGGCTCAGTTGGTATAACATTGGCCTTTGGGCCTGACGGCCGTGGGCACGAACCTGCCATGAGACCTACTTCACGACCCCCACTGATGTCTGCTGTCATTGTGTCCTTGGGTAAGACACGTTACCCCACTTTGCCTGAAGCCCCTGCTGAAAGTCCAAGGCAGCTCTGACTAGAGCGGCCATCCTCCTGTGGACTCACCACCTGCAGGAGGATCAGTGAGGGGCTGGTGCTCTGTGAATTGGACGCAGCTCTGACTGCCACCCCCGACCCAGAAATAGATGAAGGGGAAGATAATGGATGGATAATGATCACAATGCATGTGGTAGGTATGGGATTATTAAGGTTGACTTCCTTTTGGGTTTTGCCCATTTCATTTGCTTCCACACCAATGTCTTGTAATCACGCTTCATTTAAATGTGGTAAACGGCTTTGTATAGAACCAGGACATACTTTAAATGGGGTAGTCCCAGGACAGTTTAACCAAGACATACTGGAACTTGCACATATTGCAACACCTGCAGTTGAAACAAATAATACACATTGTAGATAATGTCTTTATTCCCTTAAAAAAAAAAAGCAAAAATCACTGTGAATTTGCTGATAAATTTGCTGGCTCTGTTATTATATGCATGTAATTGCATAAGAACCTCACACTTGTTCTGTTCCGGTTCAGCAGAAGTCCAGCAGCTTCAATAGTATTAATAGTGCATGGTTGAGATGGATGTGAAATGTAATGTCTTTGGACACGCCCTCATGTTGATGTGTCTTTTACATCGCTCTGTTGCAGGCTCCATTCCTGCTCCTGGTGCTCTCACTGGGGAGAGTGTCTGCTTTGGACTTCAGCTGTGAAACCCTTCTCCTGATGGCCTCCAATCTCACAGGTCTGGTCCCTCTGCTCTTCTTACTTACCGTCCATGTAGTGCCGCATAGAACATTACTCTAAGTGCCTGCAGCAAGAAGGCTGCAGATAAAACAAAAAGCACATCGACCTTGTCAGTGATTTGTTGAGTGCTTTCTTGAATTAGTTCAGTTTTCACACATTGGGGTATAATTGTCAAGAATTTGCGTGTGCGCAACAGTGACTACCATCCCATCACAGCAGAACACACTGATTTATGGTGCACATGTCTGATAAAAGTAAACATCTAAAATTAAACACGTCATTTTACTGCACGTGGATTTTACCCCCATGCTTGTAAATTAAATGGAATTCTGGATATAAAAAGGTCATAATCTTTTCGCTATGTTTTAGGCTTAGAAGGTTCTTCTAAAAAGACAAAGCGTGTAAAGAAACTAGTACTGCTTAATTACCACATGTTTTGGTAGACTTCCTTTGTCAGAAGTAACAAAAATTAACAAGTGATGGTGTAACATGTCTGTGATCAGCTGTTGTCGGACAGATGGGGCAGATCCGTAAGACTGACAACGCCCCACCGGCCACTGCACTGTGGCCTCTGGAGAAGTGAGGAGCATAAGATTATAAATACAAAAGATGGATACAAAAGGCGGTGCACCGACCATCAACGGAGACAAGGGGGCTTTCACCTTGGCTCACACTTGGGACTCACTTATCCAGAGACCACAGTGCAGTGGGGGGCGTGGTCAGTCTGACGGATCTGCCCCATCTGTCAGACTTAATCTGGTAACAATGGCTGATAAGAGACACGTCACACCACCACGTTTCACCTCCGACGAAGGCGGAACTCTCCTGCCCAAACATGTCAGGTAATTACGTAGTACTAGCTTTTTTACACTTTTGTCTTAAAAGAGACTTCAAATCCTTAAAGGAGCTATACCCGTTTCAGCAAAGTTTGAATGTTTAGCACCGCCCCTCAACTCGCTCACAGGCTTCTCATTTCCCCTACGCTCTCCTGCCACGAAGCCATCTAGTTTTATTTGCGATCTGATACACATGCTAACATTAGCATTAGCGCAACTTCTCGTAAGCTGTACAACAATCACTGATGAAATTATACAAAAGCAACGCACTGCTAACAAAATATTTAACTGAAATATGTCCGCTAGTTTCGCGTCTGAATGTCGTCTGAGGCGGTCACACACCTGCAGGTCTCTCCCATAGACTTTAAGTCTCTCCAGAGGATACGATGTAAGCTAGCAATGTTCACCTGGGCTTGATTTCTTCTTTGATCATTTTTTCGCTTTAGTTCTCTCTTCTCTTCCTCACTGTTGCATCGTTTGGGTTGTTTAGCTGTGTACGCTCTTGTTTACCAGCGCTGTAGAGGCTAGAGGACGCAGCCTCGTTCTGTGAGTGGAGGAGAGCTGGTGTCACACTTAAGGCGCGTTCAGACCAAAAGCTTCAAAAAGCTTTTGACGCGCGTTGTTTGACGCCGGGTCCGGTGTGAACGCTTTGGTGCTTGAAGCGAGTGATGCGAGTGACGCGCCTGACGCCGGTGGGAGGAGCTTCTTTGTTGCCGGTAGTCCAGACTTGAGAGGCTGCAGTGTTTGCAGCGTTTTGTCATTTACTCCAGGAGCTGCGTACGGATGAGTTTCGCTTTCAGCTGTACTTCCCCAAGTCACTCGCCCAGTTTGAGTGCCCGCAACCCGGAGCCTCTCCCCGCCTCTCGCTCGCCTCTCCCTGCCTAGAGCTCTCCTCTGCCCGCCTGGACCTGCCTCGTTCCCGCTCTGAGCCAGACTCATCGTTAGCTTCTTCTTATATTAAATAAATTACATTTACTTCACAGCATGTGTGCAATGATTTTGTTACGTACTTATTAAGAAGGCTACTACTCATACAAATAATATTACTAATAACAATAATGACAATAGAACATAAAACAGCAGCAGCAGCTACATGACTTCTCTCCAGAGACAGACCCGCTGCTGCTGCTGCTGCTGCTGCTGCTGCTCCTCGTCTCCTGATTGGTTGAAGCCCGGCTTCAAGCTTCAAAAGCTGAGCTTTGCTCAACAAAGAGACGCGAGCGTTACGCACGTCAAAAGCTTCAAAATACGTGCGTAATGCTCGCGTATTTTGAAGCTTTTGAAGCGCGCTTCACCGTTCACTTTCAATGCAAACCTGACGCTTTTGAAGTCAAAGTTAAGTCCGGTGTGAACGTACCTTCAGTCTCTACTCAGAACTTTTTACGGCCTGAATTCATACACAAGCTGGATCAATAAGCTCAAGTTGTCAATTAAATTACGGATTATAATACAACTTGTATGTAGTAATAAGCATTTTTATGAACTCATTAAAAAAAATAGCATATAGCTTCTTTAAATTGGATTCTTCTGTAAAATTGAGAGGACAAAAGTCATCTTGACAGATATACTCATCAATACTGAAATAAGGATGTTACAAATTCTCGTATTCAAACTTCTGCTGGAAGTCAATCATTTTAACCAGCTATATACAAACTTTACTACACAACAACTGTCACTCAAAAGGTGAGTTATTTTGAGTGAATCACGACTTTGGTCACTGTGCCAATAGCCTTGTCGCATACACAAGCTGCTCCATAGCAATGAATGGATTCCTCTCAATTTGGACAACCGTACATCGTTCACTGCATGAATAATAATAAACACACAACAGTGAAAGTGTGTTTGTGTCGATGTCATTATCCCTTGCATCCTTCCTTGTGTCCCTGTGTTAGTGGGAGAGTGCTTCTCAGTGCCCACAGACTGAGAGTGTGTGTGTCTGAATATGCACATTACTCATTTCTCAACAGCCTTTTGTTTCATTCACAGGGAGCAGTAAAATCCCATTCAGGAGATGTCAACCAGACACTAATCAATCTATACTGGTGCGGTGGTGCATTCAGTGCCATGGAAAAAAATTATACAATAAGAAATAATTGTTTACAGTTCTTAGAAATTAAGCAATCAATCTGAACAAACGAATGTGTTCCCAGTAAATATTAGAGAACAGATGTTGTTGTATGTATAGGTTTGATCTTGTTTCTTCACTCCTAAAGCCTAACCAGGGACGGGGGCTGCAAATTAGCCTTAGGCTAGAAGCCCTGTGTACTTTATAAATAAATGAAATAAATAAATAATTGTTTACAAAATTGATTTGAAAATTCACAAAAAGAAAAGTTTTAAACAGGGCTAAAAAAAAAAAGAGGCAAAAACAGGGGCTAAAATCACAGCTAATACAATATGCTAAAACCAGTCTCATGGCCACAGACCACGGGGCTTTGCCAATGGCTGGCAAGTATGTTGCGATGGTAACTAGCACTTGCTCTTCTCTGGTGGAAAACCAAGCCGGCTTGACCAATCCAGGACCAGCACCATGAAAAAGCAATTGTAAATGCCATGGAAAGATGGTTACCATGCAACAGAAAATGGTGATGTTAGAAATTTTGAACTCCTTACAAAATAAGAGAGCATTCCCTAACACTGGCATACAAGATACAGCAAGTCACACAGTTAAAAAGACCAGAAATGTACATACACTAAGTAAAACTAAACGCCTAATCATGTTATTTATTTTGTACTATGATCAGACTGCAGCCGCACATTGTGACTAAGGTTTATGCAATCAGAATCAGAATTCGTATTTTAAGAACATTCTAAGAAACAGAAAGTCACAAATTGCTTTGAGTCATAGTGCAAATAGTAATAAAAGTAGTGAAATATATAAATGCATGCATAAATCATTGAAAAAGCTCCCAATTACCAAGGACACAATGACAATCGACTGCTGTTTCAAGGAAAAAAGTCATTATAATATTGTAGTTCATCAAATAGTTATACTCGCACATCGTCTTTCTTGCAAAAATAAAAAAAGATTGGAAATGCGACAGTTCAGCACTAAAAGCCTTTAATGTTCACTCGTTGAAGAAAGCAATGTTAATATTGCAATTACAAATGGTTGAGATGCAGCTGGATGGTGAAAGTGCCTCAAACCAAGTGATAGAGACGCCCCAATGAGGGAGATTTCAGATATTGTGACTCAAAAAGTGACCTACCAAAGGGTTGAGGAAACTATTAAAGGGTGAAGCCTTTATCAAGCAAAATATGGTAGTTTTTCAAAGCAGCTTCATATGAGACACCCACACGTAACATCTGTCTGTGTGCAGTGAGGACAATGGTGTTGAACTTGACGCTGACCTTCACCAACACATCAGGTATGTTACTGGATTCTCTTATCACCAACTTCATTTGAGCTAAAAAAAATTTCCTTTGACCAAATTCAACAATGAAGTCAACACAATGACGGTTGAGATGAAGTGTCCTTTGTGCAAGGTGGAACATGCCGTTTTGAAAATGTTGTGGGAGTCGCAAAGATATTATCAAAGTGTGCATAGAAATCCTCGCAGCTTCCAAAGAAAAAAATAGGTGCCTTTTTTCTCTGCATGTCGTGGAACTAAAGCAGACTACCAAGTGGGTTGACCTTCCATCAATCCCATCTGATGCTTAAACTGATACTAAACTTTTCTAACACATTAATAGTTCTAACATCAGGAATATTTTCTTGTAGTAATATGCTTCCTCTAGTTTATGTATCCATCTTAGTTCCCGGTTAAATTCTGAGTGTGTGCGTGGTGTGTGTTTATGTGTGTGTGTTTGTGTACGTGCACTGACCTGTGAGTGTGTGTGTGTGTGCATGTGTTTATTGACCTGTGTGTGTTTATGTGCGAGTGTTTGCATACTGAGCCATGTGTGGGTGTGTACTGACCTGTGTGTAGGTGTGTACTGACCTGTGTGCGGGTGTGTACTGATCTGTGTGTGGGTGTGTACTGACCTGTGTGTGGGTGTGTACTGACCTGTGTGTGGGTGTGTACTGATCTGTGTGTGTGTGTGTACTGATCTGTGTGTGGGTGTGTACTGATCTGTGTGTGTGTGTGTACTGATCTGTGTGTGTGTGTGTGTGTGTGTACTGATCTGTGTGCACTTGTTTTCAACTCCTGGTGGGTTCCATAACCTGAGATTCCACTCACGTCATGGGGACTGGTTTTACGTGGTGGGGCCCGAACACCGGACCCCACTGGTCCAAGCTTAATAATCAATGGGTAATGCTTTTCTAACGGTCCTTATGCAGTCTCTGTAAAAATATGGAAAGGACCCCTGGAGGTTTACTTTCCTGAAAAAAGTGTGTTATGTGTCGGAACCCTGGTGGTGGGTTGCGGGATATCAAGGAGGGGCACACTGGGGCAATTTCAGTCCAGCAGGCTGGAGCCAATCATGGAGCAGCACAACAGAGGAAATCAGGTGTCAGGCTAGAAAAAGGTGCAAGTGTGTGGTTCATTAGGCTGCAAGAAATCATGGAGGAGCACACTGAAGCGCACGCTTACAAACCACTGGTAAGTGCTGACTACAAGTCATGACTTCAAATTGTTATATAGAATGATTACAAATTATTTGTTGTTTGTGCAGCTTAGTCAAGAGTCCCTAATTGATGAAGTCGACTCAGATTCTGACGATTTAACTGTCAAGAAGAAACCTGTAAAAAAGTATGGAAAAAGAAAAATCAAAAACACTTTTCTTCAAGACTCGGAAAGTGACGAACCAAAGGCAAATAAGATTGTTATCATGCAGCTGCAAAAGAAGAAAAATGGGGGGCGAGTATACAGCAAGAGACACTTCTGCCTCTACTGTTCAATGTCCTGCCACAAAATGTCCCGTCATTTGACTAGAAAACATGGAAATGAAAGTGACGTAGCCAGAGCATTGGCTCTACCTGTGAAATCTAAAGCACGTAAACTTCAGTTTGATTTGATCAGGAATAGTGGAAACCGTGAGCACAATTTTGAGGTTTTAAAGGCCGGCATTGGAACTTTAGTCCCAGCTAAACAGCCAAATTCCCCAGTTAAATCCAGTGAGTTTTTGCACTGTATAGACTGTGGGGCATTGCTTAAGCGAAAGTCGCTGTGGAGGCATGTGGCCAGGTGCCGGCTTTCACAGAAAGATGCCCAGGCTAAACCAGGTAGAAGTAGGGTCCAGTCCCTCTGCTCCCTAGCCCAGCCTGTACCGGAGGGCATCAGCAAAAAGCTGTGGTCTTTAATTTCGGCAATGCATCAGGATGAGGTCACGGGTGTTGTCAAAGCAGAAAAGGGGATTCTGAGACTCGGAGAGCACCTGTACTTAAAACACGGGCATGATAAGACAAAGCATGATTACATTAGGCAGAAAATGAGAGAAGTCGGTAGGTTAATTAACGAAGCAAAAACCGCAGGGAAACTGAAAACAATTAAGGATTTCTTTATTCCTTCCAACTTTAACCATGTGATTGATGCAGTCAGGTCTGTGGCTGGATATGATGAGGAAACAAATCAATACAAGACTCCATCCTTGGCCCTCAAACTCGGCCATAGCCTCAGAAAGCTAGCAGATATTCTTGAATGTGACTCAAAAATGGAGCATTGTGTTGATGAACTATTTATTAAAAACCTCCAACGAAGCCGGCTGCTTTTTGAGAAGAGGTGGGACGTCTGTGTTTCTTCTGCTGCCCTACAGACCCTCCGGCAAGCCAAGTGGAACACTCCGGACCTGCTCCCTCTGACTGAGGACGTTAGAGCCATGCATGCACATATTGAGGTATGTCGACCTGAATATGTGCAAACCCTAATAAGTGAGCCAACGTCTAAGCATTGGTCTAAACTGGCAGTTTTGACTCTTTGTGAGGTCATCATTTTCAATCGAAGAAGGGAAGGTGAGGTTTCAAAGATGCCACTGACAGCCTTTACCTTAAGAAGTAAGACTGGGATCCATTCTGACATTGCTCTGGGACTGTCCCAACTTGAGAAAAAGCTGTGTCAGCATTTTCAACGCATTGAAATTAAAGGGAAAAGAAGTCGGAAAGTGCCGGTTCTTTTGACTCCTGAAATGATTGCTTCGATGGAGGTGCTGGTGGAGAACAGAAGGGCCTGTTCCATCTCTGACCATAACCCATACTTCTTTTCCCGCCCGGGCGCAGACACCCACATCAGGGGATCAGACTCCCTACGCCAGGTAGCCAAAGAATGTGGTGCGGTGCATCCAGAGATGCTATCCTCAACCAAACTTAGAAAGCACATAGCTACTATGTCTACAGTTCTCAATATGAAAGAGAATGAGATGGACATACTTGCCAACTTCCTCGGCCATGACATTCGCATCCACAGGCAATATTACAGACTACCAGAGGGGACACTGGAGCTGGCCAAAATCAGCAAAGTGTTGATGGCCATGGAGCAGGGAAGAGTGACGGAATTCGAAGGAAAGAGCCTCGACCAGATACAAATTGAGCCTGAAGGTAATTCTTGATATTATTAAAATATGTATGATTTTTTTCCCCTAAAGGCCACTTGTATTTTTATTTTCTGTGCGACAGGGAGAGCAGTAGAGATCCTCTCACAAACGGACGGGCTAAAAGAAACTTCAAGCGGAGAACCTTCAACCATTCATCCAGATGCACCCCATGGTAGTGGCAGTGCCCCTTCTGGTAAGTGTACCAGGTGGGGGATTACAGCCAGGCTGCTTGGTCCTCACCCTGGGAGTGTATATTGCTAATATATTTTTATTTCTCTCCCTAGAACGTGTAAGAAAGCCATGGTCTGCATCTGAGGTGAAGGCTGTGGAGAAGACCATGACACCTTTCATACAGACTGGAAAGGTCCCTGGGAAGTCTCACTGCCTGGCCTGCATTAATGCCTCACCAGATGACCTTAGACATCGGACATGGAGTGGCATTAAATTCTATGTCAAAAATAGAATCACTGCAATTCGAAAACAAAATCTAAAATAAAATTCCTTTAAAATAGTTGTTTGGTTTCTATTGACTGTTTTGTATTACTTAAAGTCTTGGTAAAAAAAGATTATGTCTATGGGTCCCATTCTGAACGGCCCTGTCAAAGGGACCCACCAGGTAACAAAAACGTGTATGTGTGTGTGTGTGTGTGTACTGATCTGTGTGTGTGTGTGTGTGTGTGTACTGATCTGTGTGTGGGTGTGTACTGATCTGTTTGCGTGTGTGTATTGATCTGTGTGTGGAGGTGTACTGACCTGATAGACTGTAAATATATATTTAGACTGTATATATTAACGGACGTAGCCACGCCTATCTCCGGCGTTCTAACTTATGTGCCACAACTTCCGCGGTCTATGGGCAGTTTCAAAATGGCCGCGGGGGCTGGAAAATGTTAAAAAACGCATCAGCGCATGTGTCAGCCAGCACGAGCCCCATTCATTTAACGAGTGCCTTCAAAATTTCACAGAAACTAAACTAGACTGGTCCAAAAAAATTCACCCCCCTCAGCATTGACACACATGTGGAACGGAGCTATGGGCCAAGAGCCAACGTTTGGACTGTCCTGTAAAGGTGTTTTCGAGAGGTAAGAAGATGCTATATGTTAGCATTGGATAATTCTTATTCCGGGGTCACCCCCATTGGCCCGGGGTGGTATTGCAAGCATGTCAACGCACGCCAGGACCCGCCCCCATGGTGTGCACTGACCTGTGTGTGGATGTGTACTGACCTGTGTGTGTGCGTGTATGTACTACCATGTATGTGTGTGTGTGTGTGTGTGTGTGTGTGTGTGGGTGTATGCATGTGTGTACTGACATGTGCGTACTGACCTTTGTGTGTTTGTACTGACCTGTGTGTGTATGTGTGTACTGACCTGCGTATGTTTGTACTGACCTGTGTATGTTTGTACTGACCTGTGTGTGTATGTGTGTACTGACCTGCGTATGTTTGTACTGACCTGTGTATGTTTGTACTGACCTGTGTATGTTTGTACTGACCTGTGTATGTTTGTACTGACCTGTGTGTGTATGTGTGTACTGACCTGCGTATGTTTGTACTGACCTGTGTATGTTTGTACTGACCTGTGTGCATATGTGTGTGTGTAGGTCAGTACTGTGACCTGTCCGTGGACGGGATAGGCACCTGCTGGCCCCGCAGTGCAGCAGGAGAGGTGGTGTCCAGGCCGTGTCCAGAGCAGTTCAATGGGATTCACTACAACACCTCAGGTCCTTACTACACAACATCTACTGATATTATTTACTAAGAACACTATAGCGTTGTTAAAGTTCAGTGCGGATTCAGATTTTCACTGAACTGTTTTATGAAGCAGTTTTATAGCACCTCTCCTCAAACAACAATCTGCTTTTACGGTTAGTTTTAGGGTTTAATTCCTCGGTAACAACACCTGGCTGCTGTGGTTTCAGATCGAGTCTACAGAGAGTGTCAGCCCAATGGGACCTGGGCGCCTCGGGGAAACTACAGCCAGTGCACTGAGATCATTCTGCTGGTGAGTAGTTTGGACAGGCCCTGGCTCAAGGTTAAACTGTTCAACACAACAACAAACCATATCCACAACAACACTGAACAATACTGTAAAGTGGGACTCCTGGGCCACATTTGGCCATCTCTGGGTTCTAATTTGGCGGTGATGGAAAAAGGTGTCGACATGTATTTTGGTCCAATTGTACCGAATTGTGGCTTTTATGTGACAATTAAAACAAAAGCAGTCTATTCCGTTAAAATAGATCAAATAAGGACAGATTTAAAGACACTTTTTATGCAAGAGGTTCGGCCCTCGGCTTAACAACACAAGGATTTTGTTCCACCGATTTAATGAACCAGTCACAAATAGTGCTCTTCTTGTCTGTTGTCATCACATTCGATTTTCTATAATGAATGCTTATAAGATAAGATAATTTAAGATGTACTTTATTAATCTCACACAGGAGAAATTATACCATTACTTAATGGTGTAAGTAATGGTATTCTGTATGACCATCTGTTCTAATCTAATTTTAAAGCTACATGGATTCCTGTTGCTTTACTGTAAACAAAAAATAGTGAACTCATTAAGGCTTTACTGTCTACTGTTTATGAAAAGGATTGTTGACATTATTCAGAGTTTGCAGCTTGCATCGACAGATTGGTGATTATAAATGACTGCTCAATGTTGGAAACCCTTTAGGGTGGGAGTAATGAAGTTAAACTAAGTTTAAGCAAAATCCTGGAGGACTGAGTTGATGAGGTGATGTGCAGCACTGATATGACTCAGTGTGAAGTGACAGCAATGCTGTGCTCTGTTGCTTTGGAGACTGTGACTCAATAGCAAATAAATAATAATGAGGTGACAGATTGTGAGAAACACCAGCTGTGTGTTCAGAGACCAGTGCCTTTAGAAAGACTCCAGTCACCAGTACTCCTTATCCATCCCAACAGAACCTCCTCTGACTGTGCAGTGGCCAAACGGGACACGTCTCAAACAGACTCTGGATTATGCCTCTGTTCTTTTTGTACACGCCAAGTGCAATAGCTGGAAATCTCAAAAATTCTTATGGGTATTTTTCTTGATATTTGAGTCTTAAAACAATATTTGCTAGATTTGATGCGACAAACAGCCTTAGTCTTTCAATCACAGTAGCTCATTTCAAGTGACCTCAACCTATTCTCTTGTTCCATAGGCAAATCTTAATTCAAGACAAAACTTGCTCAACTTAAGATAAAATTAGCATCCTATTTGATTGGACACTCAGGCTTCGGATAAATCAGAAAGCCAAAGGCTACATTACAGTGTAAATAAAGTTAGTGAATAGTAGAGAAACAGATTGTCTGAAGTTCTTGACACGTGACCCAACAGGGCCACCATGAGCTGATCCCCTCCTATAGTTCTGGGACCTCTCTTATCACAGATTTCCTTTTGGATCATGACCAGTCCGGCCGTCCACTCACACAAACACTGCTCTCGGCCAGAGAAAAGTCACGTGGTCCAACATAGGAACCATATGGACTCAGTGTGGACCATCTGGACCAGGACAGTCAGGAAAGATCTAATAAAGAGATCATTGAAGTGGAACAGCATATACTGATGAACAGGAGAGCTCCCACAGCAGAAAGCAGTGTCAGAATGAACCCATCCTCAGGGGACCCACTCATTTCCATCTCACAGCTTCTGAAAGTTTTAGGGCAGCATAAATGATCCAAAAATGAAACTTAAGCAGAAAAAATATTGCATTGTATGTTACTCGACCAAAGCAGATGGAGACTGCTTGTATTGATCTAAACTGGACCTTTTCCCAAATACTATCTCTCTTCTCTTTTTTTTCAAGAGTTTTTTGTGTTCATGTGCTGTATGTGTTTATTATTGCTGCATTTCCTGTATTTGAATTGTTTGATTCTCTGATCTGTATTGGCAAATCCACAACTTTGTTGAGTCCTCTGAGATAACTTTTGTAAACTAGGGCTATACAAAAATAAATTGAATTGATAGGTTACTAAGAGTTAAATTCAACTCTTAGTACCCTCAGATTGCTGTCTGATGAGTTGGAAAACCTTAGGCACTGGATTAAAAAAAGAATATTCTTTAATAAGTGCTGAGTGTGAGAATTCTGTTTCACCAACAGTATTTGTTCTGTTCTCCTCTCCTAGAGGAAGAGTAAGGTGCATTATCAGGTGGCTGTCATCATAAACTACCTGGGACACTGCATCTCTCTGGCAGCGCTGGTGCTGGCATTTACTCTCTTCATGAGACTTCGGTGAGCACGCAAACTCTCTATATTTATATATGAATTCTATTGGCCACGATTTCTGTATCGCTTATTGTTGAATAACTGTATATTCACTGGGACAGTGCATGTTGAATGGTTAATTTCTTTTATTTTATTTCAAGCTCATAAACTGGAATCAATTAATATAATTTACAGTATTTACATAGTATACATGTTACAAACATACATACGTACATATATTAATACATACATTTAAGCGTTTCCTTTGTTCATTCCTGTCATAGCCCAAAAAGGAGTTTTCAAAAAGCTTCCTCCTCATATGGTAATGAATATACGTGACGTAAACACACAAGATTGTAGCCACCAAATCCATCAAGTGAAACATGCATCCAAAACAGAAGTTCAAATTGAACTTCACCAGTTATCCATAACAGGCCTTTTCTTTGTCATAGTGAAGTTATATTTCAAGTAAACAATGTCAAATCATGATTGTTTATCCATAGATATCTATATGGATGGCATAAGTTACAGTACATACAGTAGTTTACATTGTTTAGTGCAATCAATTACATGAGTAGTATGTTGTCTGGCAAATTGAGTTGATATAATGAATCCTTTTCTTTTTACAATTTGTAAAGACTCAATAACGAAAAGATGGTTTTTAGTTCATTTAAATTTGCAGTGTGCCAAGCAGGTTAGTTACCATGGAGATATGCAGTCTTCCAGTCTGAATTTTCGCTTGTTTGGAGTTTTTTTCAATACACATTTCTTAACATTCCCTTTTTTTTCAGGAGCATCCGGTGCCTGAGAAACATCATTCACTGGAACCTGATCTCAGCATTCATCCTGAGGAATGCCACATGGTTCATTGTCCAGCTGACTATGTCTCCCATGGTCACAGAGAGCAACCAGGTAACTAGCAGCCAATCACGCAATTACGAACGTCTATATACATGTCGCTGGACTACACAGACTCTTCTTTATTCTTCGTTTCCTTGGTATATACTGTATGAATAGCACTATAGGTTAATTAGTTGAGCTGATGAAAAGGAAATTCTAAATATATTATAATCTTTGAAATAATTATGTCACTCAACCTGCAACGTTCTAAAACTATTGGAAAAAGGGATAGTAAGTAAGTATTTATTTCAAAGTTGTATATTTTCATACAGCATAACAAAACAAAAGACAATACAGACATGTCATTTGAGAGCTGTGTTCCTCAATTATGACTTGAGGAACTCTGAAATAATAAAAACCTATTTATTGGACCCTTGGCAGAGCTCTTCATTGGGGGCATCAGACAGAAAAATCTTTATCTTGCGTAGGCGGTCGGTTAATATAGTTGGTCTATTGATCGCTATATTGCTTTAAAAAAAAAAAAAACTACCCTCAATACCTTGAGGGTTTCTGCCCAGTAAAGGTAATAAAACCATTCAGTTCATGTATTGTTTACTCAATCGGCTCTTAAGTCAATGTGTCTACACCCCAGAGGCGCAGATGTGAGAGATCTACTAGAATATATGTACTAGAATATATATGTGTTTTTGATTTTTATTTGTTTTCATTTTAGCTGTGGTCCTTCATGGTTGCATCAGCAGCAGTCAATGAGATGTGTGTGTGTGTGTGTTCAGGTGTGGTGCCGAGTCGTGACTGCAGGCTATAACTATTTCCATGTGACAAACTTCTTCTGGATGTTTGGGGAGGGCTGCTACCTGCACACGGCTGTAGTGATGACGTATTCTACTGACAAGCTGCGGAGGTGGATGTTCATGGTCATCGGATGGGGTAAAAATATTCTCGGTTGTAAAATAATGTGCAATCATATACAGAAGCAGTTTACTGTCTGTCATAATGAGTTATTGTGATAAAATGAGTTGGTTGTTCCATCTGTAAAGATGTAGTAGGACATCAGAGAAACTGAAAAAAATGTTGAAGAGGTTGATTATCTTCTTTTAATCTCCGACTCTGGAAGCCTCTCTGTGTTAGTGCTTTTAGATCCAGAACAGCGTTCGACACTGTTGACCATTTTTATCTCCCACCTTGAGTCCTGTGCTGGACACCTGTACGATCGGATGTTTTCCTTACAACTCCAGAAAAGTCTCCCTTGACAGTGGTGTACCGCAGCGTTCTAGGACCAGTTATATTTTCTGTGAATATGTTGCTTTTTGGTTAGATTTTCAAAAAGCATAACATTTCATTCCACTGTTGATTTTATCAGTGCCTTTGAATGTAAATTTAGATTCCATCCAAGCACCGCAGAATTGTCTTGATGATGTAAACCTCAACTTTTTTAACTTGAAAGACAAGACAACAGAATTGTAGTGTTTGGTGAAACCAATCTGTCTGTTTTCAATGGTGTGTGTAGCCTGTCCTCTTACTGCTGCCCATGTGCAACAAATCTTGTTGTGTATTTTGATGGGGCTTTTAAAATGGACAAACAAATAAACACTGATGTCAAAACCAGCTTCTTCCAGTCGAGAGTTACATCTTCCGCCAAATGAACTTGAGAAGGTTGTCCATGCCCCATTTACCACACCGCTGGATGACTGTAGCTCGCTATACTATGGCGTTGACCAATCCTCCAAGTACAGCTAGTAGAGAACGCAGCAGCTCAGATTCTGACTGACACCAGACGCCACAAGCACATCACTCCTGCGCTGTCGTCTCTTCATTGGCTTCCTGTCCATTTTAGAATGCAGTTCAACATCTTGTTTGTATTTAAATCATTGCACAACCTGGCCCTATTGTATCTCACTGACTTGCCTACTTTGCACACTCTGGACAGAGCACTGAGGTCCTCTGACCAGCTTCTTCTGCACTGTCCCAGGTCTAGACTAGGACCAGAGGAGGCCGAGCCTTTGCTGTGGCAGGGCCCAAACTCTGGAACGCTCTCCGTTATTGTGTCAGAGCTGCCCCCTCTGTGGAGAGCTTTAAATCAAAGCTAAAGACACATTTCTTTGCTCTGGCTTAAATGAAACTTTTATGATAGTGGATCAGTATTTTATTTTCTGCTATATTTCGTTTGTGTTTTGTAATGTCTGAAAAGCACTTTGTGACAGTCATGTCTGTTTTTTTATTTTTTATATATGTGCTATTTAAATCAAATTGACCTTGATCTGGACCCTTATTGATTCACGTTTACCCGGCAGACGTATTTTATGGTATTAATTGGATTCCAGTGTGGCAGGCGGGATAGTGATGTTGATATTCCAGTCTCCCAGTCAAAACATTTTTCTTTAGCTCCATTTGTATAAAACTGTGATTTTAAGATGGTAGATTAGCTATTACATTTACAAACGTGTGGGCTAACAATTACATTTTCCTAGTTGTTCCGTGTGTACTTGTTTCAAAATTGTTTTGACAATTTTGACAACACTAGAACTATTTGCCAAACCGGTACGAAAAGTTGGACAAGTATTGCCCTAATTCAAGCTAAAGTCTGAGATATTCTCAGACACATAAGCAAATAATCATTTACAAGCATGTTTTGTTTTTATTATATGACATTTTTATTTATTTTTTCAAATCTTCTCATCTTTTACATACAACCGTACTCTTCACTTTCATTTTGTTCATGTAAAGAATTTCAGGAAAATGATAATGGACCAGAGTTTACGGTCCATTAAGTATACCAGGCTACTGCTTGTAAATTTCTCCTTTGTGAGATCAAGTATATCTTATCTTATCTACTATGTAAACTCATGGTTGATTTGTTTGTTTTCATGTTTATCACAGGAATCCCGCTGCCCATCATTGTGGCCTGGGCCTTTGGGAAGCTGTACCACGACGATGAAAAGTGAGTCATGTGAAATATTACCAACCCCAAAACAAATCAGTTTGTTCGAGTTATCATGATACTGTAAGTCTTCCAAACTTCAGACTGTTTATGCTGTTGACCTGTGTGTGCAGGTGCTGGTTCGGGAAAAAACCTGGTGTTTACATAGACTATATCTACCAAGGCCCAATGATCCTAGTTTTGTTGGTAAGAAATTTAGTTTCATTCACATTGAACAGCAAACTTTTTTTTTTCCATATATACTCTGAGTCACTCTTGGACTCGTGGGCTGAGAGCTCATTAGTGAGTGAGAGTAGTCCTCGCCTTTTCACTTTTCTGTCTGAAAATATATGCATGTGAAACTAGTCATAGACAGTGTTGGGCAAGTTACTTCAAAAACATAAAACTTGTTACTGTTATAATTGATGTTACACATTACAATATTATTGACTCTGAATTATAAATGTTACTCTACTACTGCATTACTTATACAAAATATATATAAAGGAGTCAAACCCAGGACCAAAAGTACTATCCATCGAGTCACTGCGTGTTGCCAGTGTTTGTGATGCGTTACCCCCAACTCTGGTCTTAAAACCAAATTGTAATGAGAGTAGGGAACTAGTATAATGTATATATATACAGTATGTATATAACATAACATAATACATACATACATACATATACAGTAAATGTATAACATAATATAATCCGCTTTGTGTTTTTTTTCCCCGACGACAGATCAATTTTGTATTTCTGTTTAACATTGTGAGGATCTTGATGACGAAGCTCAGAGCATCCACAACCACTGAGACCATACAGTACAGGTACACTCTCTTCAGCACAGACCTTTTCCTCTATTGTAATGAATCTGAGGCTGGAGTGGCGGAGGTTTTTATCTGTGTTGATTGAAGTCACTGGGGGCTCAGTTGGTAGAGCATAGGCCTTTGAGCCTGAAGGTTGTGGGTTCGAGCCCACCATGAGGCCTTCTCCACTGACTCCCACTGCTGACTGCTGTCGTTGTGGCCTTGGGCAAGACACTAAACCCCACTTTACCTGAAGCCCCCTCTGAAAGATCAAGGCTATGCCATAGAGCGGCCATCTTCCTGTGGACTCACCACCTGCAGGAGGATCAGTGAGGGGCTGGTGCTTTGTGTACTGGGTGGCATCTCTGGCCCCCCCAACCCAGAAACGGATAAAGGGGTAGAAAATGGATGGATGGATGATTGAAGTCAGACTGTACTTCATACACAGCATGGAGCCACTTTTCAACTATAAGCGTCTGAAACTCCACATCTTGTCAAAAGCAACCAAGATGAATGCCTTATTTCAAACTACAGCAATTAGCGTTTCTTTCTACTATGACATATTGTGCATGTCAGGCTTTTCAATACCATTCGGCACATTCGAAAGTGTTCCAATATATGGACTCCTGCAATATTATTATTTCAGTGGCTTTTTGCGTGACAGCTCTAAGTATTTCACGGAAAATAGTCTGATTCTATGATGACTGCAAGTGTCCACACGGATGGCCTTCAAAACAACAATGCGTGTTATTCTCAGCTCTTGTAAATCTCTTGTGGTGCGTTTATGATTCGCAGAAAGGCCGTCAAAGCGACCTTGGTGCTGCTGCCTCTGCTCGGCATCACTTACATGCTGTTCTTTGTCAACCCTGGAGGAGAGGACCAGCTCGCTCAGATCGTCTTCATCTATTTTAACTCCGTCCTGGAGTCTTTCCAGGTACAACACACTCTGAGACGTGTTTGACCTTTGTCTGGGTTGAGTTTAGTCTGTTTGAAGAGACAATGCACCGAACCATCTGCAGTGCAGAGTTACATAAATACAATACATACAAAAGCATGCTATCAAATTAAGAAGTTACATTTTAACCACACCTCATTGACAGCATCACACATCCTCTCTATCACATACATTACATAGACTGCATATAGATAGACAAAGCAAATGGATGGACAATAGATGTATTATAGTATCTGAATGTGGTTTTGCTAGCTGAAACACATCTCTGACATGGATAAGAGACCATTGCAGCTTAAATTCACAATTTTAACTAAACCGGTTTGTCCTCAGCAAACGGGGGAACTTTTAGAGTTGTTCCTTACCAATGCAGGAGGGTCGGTTAGATAAATGTCTAACCTCATCTGTTAGACATTTATCAACATTTATGGACATTTATCAACATTTATAGACATTTATCAACATTTGTGGACATTGGTCATCTGCCCCTTCTGGACCAATGGCTCTATAGGACTTTTCCATCATTGCATTACTTTGATTCTCTGATCTGTGTTGGAAAAGTCAACAGTTTTGCTAAGTCCACTAAGATTACTACTGTTGTGATACAGGGCTATACAAGAATACATTGAATTGAATGAAGTCTCACTTTTGTGCAACAAAATGGGCTCGCTCTCGCACCACTCGAGCTCCACTCTGATCAGCGGGGCGTTGATCGTTTAGAAAGCTCACATGTCCCATGTCTCTGTGCTCGAACATGAGAGCAGTGTTACTCTGGTCCTGCTGAAGAATCACAGCACATCAAGCGTCACTTCTGCTTATGTTTGGGACATCTATGGTGCGAGCATGCGCCAATGAGTACATACTGTATGCCATCTACTTGAATGGGAAGACATCTTGGAGGCACATGTGTTCAGTTTGCAATCATGTTAACATGTTTTCACTCTTGTTCCTCAGGGTTTTTTCGTATCTGTGTTTTATTGCTTCTTAAATACTGAGGTAAAGATATAAATGATTATCACAAACATCTTTTTGGAGAGGTTTTTATTTACACGTTATTCTTCTATTTTGTATGGTGGCAGGTGCGGTCAGCAGTGAGGAAGCGCTGGCTCCGGTGGCAGGACCAGAACTCGATCCGCAGCAGAACCATGAGGGCCACATCCATCCCCACATCTCCCAGTCGAGGATCCTTCCAAAGCATAAAGCAGACTTCAAATCTCTGACCTCAGCCTCAACATTCCTTTAAGATGGTATTTTTTTAGTGTACCACTACCTGCTTATCGTGATGGATTTTTCAATCTGTAGAGACTGGAGACAAAGATCGCATTAGAATATTTATTGTCGAGATGCATGAATAAACACCAGCAGACTTAGATTGGCAATTAGACCCCGGTGGGGATATTGCATGACGTATGCAGAAAGGAGTTTCATAGAAACTAGAACTTGCGACCCCCCGGGGCCTTGACCCTGGAGGCGAAGAGGCTGAGCCGAAGACATGACATGATCCTCCACTGAAGAGGCGGTGATGGGGAGGAGGTGGGTTGCTGCTCGAACTTTAGTTTGAGCAGCAAACTAGTTTAAGCTTAATTTTATTGCTTTGCCTGAAAAACAATACAGCACAACCATCTCCTCCATTTGGACAAGCCTTTCATCCAGGTCCTTATTTATTGTGTCCCTGTTTTAATGTGAATAGTGTCATATGCTCAGTTCCATATGAAGACTTTGAACAAACTGTATGTATATACTGTATGTAGCTATGCATATGTGATGCCTCTGATAATACATTGTGTGTGTGTGTGTGTATATATATATGTATATAATGGCCCGGCGCCTGCACATGTGTACACTTTAAGAATATATGGTGTTTATAGAGACTAGTGATGTAATTTTATTGTAGTTACTAGAGTATTTGGAATTACAAAGTACATCACTCTATGCTCGGTTAAAGCTGGGTACCTATTTTTTTATTCATTCATAAATTACCCATGTTGTTCGTCCCAACAGAAATGTAAACTTAAAATGTTGTGAACAAATCAGACCTGCTGCATCCAAACATAATGTCTTAATCTTGATCTTTGGAAAACTTGAGCCATGTGAGTCACTATTTGACTCTTTGGGCTGAGAGCTGATTGACTGAGTGAGGGTGGTCCTTTTTTTTTCACTTTTCTGTCGGAAAAAACGTACATGCTTATGTAACAGGCTAAAAACAAAAACACATGCATGTGTAAGCTAGTGATAGAAGCAAGCCTTATTCAGTGCAGTGAGATAAACAAACCCCAGCTTTGAGGTTATTCAAATTAAGTGTAAATGAAGCTAACAGCTGCTTAAAGTGCTCCACAATTAGTTTAAAAGACCACTCAAAATACAGAATCTTGATCCAATCAGAGCTCTGTACTCTGGATACTCCTAAATGCATAAATATGATCATTAATAAGAAAATGGTAAAACACACTTCCATGCACTTCTAAAACTGAGATTCTTACACCCACGCACTCAAAGTCATTTTAAGTAACTATTCTATATAGTATATAGTTACATTCTGAAAATGTACTTATTGATACATAGAGGTTGGGTAACAAAACTCTTTTTTAGTCCAAACAGAGAGAGAGAGAAAGTAAAGTAAAATGTATGCTATCTCATTAAGGAAACATTATTATTACATACTTACGTAATTATCTATCTCTGTGAGTCACTTTTTGACTATTTGGGCTGAGAGCTAATGGCCTGAGTGAGGGTGGTCCTCTCTTTATCACTTTTCTGTCTGGAAAAAGCTGATTAAAAGATGAGACAAGATGAGACAGGCAAAAAAAATACATGTGTGTAAAAAAGAAGTGTCAAAGAATTGTTTGAAAGTCAGGTTCAGCAGCTTGTTGTTTCTTCCCCACAGTAGTGCACCCACTGAAAGCTCAGTCACTTTCTGAAAAACACTTGAATTTTGTCCTTGGTTTTGTAACTCCTTTTGTGTCTTGACGTTTGTGTGTGAAGGCAGCCATGGAAACCGTTAAAGTTATTACAATAGGAAACATAGCTTTGATAGATTCTAGTTTTTTAAGAATAAGTATTTGTTGGAATATTATCAAAACTGTATGTATATATGCTGCATTTGAAGTTATTCTGAGCTCTTCTCTATCATGAGGTATTAGTTTGCTCAGGCGGTGACTCAGGAAATACAGGGTAAATGGCCTAACAACCAGTACATAAACACAATTACCTTAAATATACTGTTGGTTGATGGGACAGTTTTCCATGTGTATTTTAATATAGGATATATCTGAAAAATATCCTCATCAACAAACTTTGGTACAACTCATCACCAGCTATTATTTAGTTTATTGTGTATTATTACAATCTTGAGCCCTGTTTCCACCAGCCCTATTTGTCCAATTCTACTCTAATCGCCTCTAATAGCTAGTTGCATTTCCATTAAACTTTAGGTAATTCATAATAATACAATACATCTATATTTAGATAGATATATAGATACTTTATTCATCCCCGTGTCCAGTAGCAGCAAAAACACAACCATCCACACAGAAAAAACAAATAAATTGATCTAAAAAGCTAACAATAGTAATAATATATTTAGAATACACAATACAGAAATGTATCGCACTTTTCAAAAACAGTGTTTACAAAACGCTACACTGTCAGCATAATCAATACAAATAGCCAAGATAAGATGAGAGAAGCTTAAATTGTGGGACCGTTTCATAGAAAACCTACCCACAACAAATCAGTGTCTGGGGAAACGCTGTGGGAACCATGGTAACCAGCAGCACTCTGGTCAATCACTGTCAGATAGAACAGGGCCAAGCAGGTACTTAAAGGTACTTGTTATCGGTTAAACAGGGTCGGTGGAAACGCTCCCAATTGGTGTTGAGTAGAGTAGGGTCAAGTAGAGCTAATGGAAACAGGGATTTTGTGGGGTAATTGATATTTATTGTGTAATTTATTGGGGCTTGTATACAATTAAATGACAAGCGTATATCAGTTTTTCTTCTTCATCTTGAATATATTTATCCTGCTTTTCTAACTTGGTGTCCACTTTCTGCTTGTATATAAGTGACATTAAATGAGAAACAAAAAATGAGTGATGTTCAATTGTTTAGTCACATCACAACACTTCAAGACATTTACTGTTAAACTGTACCACACTTTGATCATTATTTTACTTTGTGTTCAGTTTTTATCTAAATCAGTTCAAATACAAGACAACTGACATATAGTTATCATTATTTTTATTGAGATTGATTTAACCAGAAAAAAGCTCCAAAACTATTTGAATTGAACATTGTTCCCTTGGTAAAAAAGAAATAATTTAATAGTTATTTTGCTCTATCTACACTGACATCAGAATTTTGTTTTCTGCTCTGTTTTAAACAATCCTCAGACATCAGAGCTGTTTTCTGGCTTTTAAACCAAAAATTGCCTCTAAATTATTATTTTTGTATTATTAATTGTAGTAATTTTCCAGTTATTCAGTCAAAGCTTCAAATAGACTGCACCATATTTAAAGGTATATAGGAGGATTTTCTACTTCTGGGTAGATCATCAAGACTATTGTTCCTCCCAATTGTCAATCATTCTGGTGATATGTGCCCGTCAAAGAAGACCAGAGAGTTTTGTTCAAAAAGTGGAGAGGGCGGTTCTTCCCCAAAATTTGGGAAAATCTTCTTGTATACCTCTAAGTAACTTCCCATCTCTATTCCATATTTCATGCATGTCTCTTGATGTGCTAAAATATCAAGCCAACGTTTAAGGAAAGTAAACGCAAATATCTGTTCTTTAAATAACAATTTTAATAATAAAAAATACACATTAAATACAGTTGGTATTTTAGTTTAACAAATACTTAAAACCTTTCAATCATCCGTCATATCCGCCAGTGCATGTTACAGCAATAATCCTAGAAATCTGGAATAAAAATGTTCCAGTGTGACCCGGCCTCAGACCATCGACGTGCTGCTCGAGAACCACTGAAAACACACACACACATAATCGTCACAACTAACCTTCAAACTCATGTACGGATTAATATAAACTCACCGAACTGAGAAATGGTAGATCCACCGCTGACAGGACGAAGCTCACAGCGACAGGGAAGAAGGACCTAGAAATAAGCAACAATTAAAGCTGCTCTGCGTGACTTTCTTGGTGGAGGGGCCACTTTGTATTAAGGTCCATCTAAAGCCGCGTTCAAACAAGTTAGTTCACTTTAACAGGACTAATTTTGGTTCTCTCGGGGCAAAAATGCTATATTTGTGGATGTAAAAGCACCTCCCCTGATCTAAAGATACAGTATATAGACCAACAATATACAGGAGCAGAAGAGATTATAGTTACATGGGTTCTCTTACATCAGAGATTTATACTTTGATCCTGTTGATCCAAAAAGGAAATTGTGCATTGGTCCCTTGCTCGCAATCATACAAACATAGAAACATAGAAACATAGGATAGAGTTAAAAGATAAAAAAAAAAAAACATAATTAAAAAAGACAATAAAATACATTAAAATCATCAGGGGTGTCCAAATATTTTAGCAAGAGGTCCACTTGAGTTAACTAGTCTTGTCCAGGGGCCGAAAATCCAGATTGTGAAACTGATTTGACTGGAATCAGGCTGTTAACCCAACTACTATGACAAGGCTGAAGTTGTTATGCCACCAGCTTTATTAATGCCATTAAAATATATGTCAGCTTAAAAAATGTACATACAACTATAATATGTATAAATGTAAGTATGTGTTTATGATCTCAAAGACTCTCAGGTAACAAGCCACATGACACAGAAGGCCGTAATTCAAATTTACCGAGGTGTTTTATTTGGAATTTTTTGCAACAAAGGCTTGATATAGCTGACTTTGTGTGAAGTGAGTCCGTCCTATATGAGTTTCACTTTAGAAGTCGAATAACAGAAGTAAATACACTTTTGAACAATATTCTGATTTTCCAATTATCAAATCAGTCTCTTCTGCCTCCTCCCTTTCAAACATGTCCACACTGTTTTGTTCTCTCTTGTCTTGAAATCTTAGAATCTGTTTGTGATCTGTCATGTTCAGAATGAAAAGTATCAATCAATCAGTTTTCTTCTTTTATAACGTTGTTTTCAAGTAGTGGTTACGGAAAGTTCCTGTTGTGAGTTTTAATGAGTATGTTTCTGTCATTCAAGCCTCCACATAACAAACAAGAAGACACTGCACATAGAATAAACTGTCTTGTTATTGAAAAATAATTAATGAACTGTAAAATGTTGATATTATCTATTCTTGAATATGTATAATTGGTTTGTTATTGCTCACATCAGGCTCCTGGTGGGTATCATGTTGAGGTAGCTCACAACTTTAGTTAAAGAGTAAACAATAATTTCACCACAATCAAGCACATGAAGTATATGATGTGCAAACAGGAGATGTTCTTAATCATTGTTAGGGCATTTGTAATGATTTCATTCATAGTTTATTTGTTGACCTTTATTCAACCACTGTGATTTCAGAAACGGATTTTCAGGGGAGTCCTAGCCCCAGACCAGGGGCGGGGGTGGAGACGGGGTGTTAGAGGGAACTATGGTTCATGCATTAGTTGGAAGGCAAACCGGAGCACAGGGAGGTGGACCTTCTGGCAGTAAAGCACTAACCACTGCACCACAATGCTGCCCTACTGTTAATTTGTTTATTTTTTTTAAGTAGTAATGAAGGGTTAGGTTAAAAATATATTTTCTACATTTGAATACATTCATTTGTCCTCCCAATTTGTGTTTGTTTAGAAAACAACAAAATACATTTCATATAAAGTTATAGAATAGTTTCTGTATATCAGTTATTGTATGAATTACAAAAACATTAACACTAACTTTGAACACATCGTTTATGGCCATTCGTCCATTTGAACTTTTAATTAATTATAGACATTTTGTTTTCTTTACTGTTTTGCAAGAATTTTAATATATTGATAAAGCATTTTAAGATGTAAGTTCCCTGAGCTTGAGCGATTAAAAATGTTGACTTAACATAAGAATTGGAATAAATTCCTGCCTAACCATGTGTTGTATTAATCTTTTCTTACGAAGTGTGCTAAACGGTTCAGGTTGGTCGCAGTGCTGTTTACATACCTAAACAAAAGCACAAATCCATAACATTCCGTCACCATGCCGACGATGGGCCAGCGGAAGAGCACCAGAGTGACGCCGCCCAAGAAGAAGAACGAGCCTTTGAACTTGTGTCTCTGGAAGAAGAAGTGCACGGTGCGTCTGACTCCCGTGATGAAGGTGAGGCCGCACAAAAACAGTACCTGGAGCGAAAAACAAAAACACAAAATACAACTGGGAATCAATTATTATCTGTACTTTTATTTTATTATTTATTACAAACATACATAAAGACACAAAATGATTACCATAGTGAGACGAGACAAATCAATTCAAGTTTATATCGTGATACTATGGGTCTAAGCTTTGATAGATTTCTGAGATGGAAGAAACAAGTTCAAGACCAGGTTCAGATGTGCTGCACAAAATTCAAGGCCTGTTCAAAAGTAAAAAGGTCACTAAGTGAATGGAGGACTTTAAAGCCTCCAAGGTCTGAGAAATCTTGGATATTGTGTTGCCAGCTGTGCCGAGGTTAACAATGAGGTTAACAATAAGGAGAGTGGTGGGTGCTGGGCCAGAAGACCTCCACAGTCACTGGACCTGAACCCAATCCAGAGGGTTTTGGGGTGAGCTGGACCACAGAGTTAAGGGGCCAACAAGTGCCAAGCTTCTCTGGGAACTCCTTCAAGACTGTTGGAAGACCATTTCAGGTCCTCTTGAAGCTCATCAAGAGAATGCCAAGAGAGTGCGAAGCAGTAATCGGAGCAAAAGGTGCTACTTTGAAGAACCGAGAATATAAGACATATTTCAGTTGTTTCATACTTTTTTTTTAGTACATACTGTACATAATTCCACATGAATTAATTCATAGTTTTGATGCCTTCAGTGTGAATCTTATATCATAATCATGAAAATAAATAACTCCTTGAAAGAGAAGGTGTGTCCAAACTTTCGCTTTGGTGCATTTCTCAGATCAGACTGAAAGTTTTCAAAACTATTAGTTTCCACAACATTGAGTCTTTAGTGCACATCACCGTGGCAGTTTTTCATTCCTTTGAACAAATTAGAAATGCTTTTGAACATGTATCAGTGACTTTCATACAATTCTCTGTTGTTTTATAACAGTATCATTTGCAATTGACAGACCAACAGACAGACAAACAAATTATCATCACAAGTCAAGCGGACGTTAAAACAGATTACTATTGGCTTTGTTTTGTTCCGCTCACTGCAGGTGTGATCAACAGAACAGCAAGTACCGTGGTTAATATAAACTTCCACAACGTCTACGACTCACTTGTTCTGTTGACTTTGTCCTTTTCAATCCAATCAAATGATAATGTCATCACAAAACACAGATATACCTAATATTGTAGAAATCGTAAGGACTATCTAAATCATTACAACAAAAACAGTAGTATCTAGCAGTCCCTAAACATGATTTAAGTTTGGAAATACATTTACAAAGATATGTCTGGGGAGCCAAGGCCAGCACTCATTAAGACGTGATCTACTGAGATTGTGGTATGAGTCAGAGTCCAGCTCCTGCTTTATCCTCTGGGCTTATCTGAGCGCTCTCCTCCTCAATGAATGGAAAAAAACAACTTCTAAAAATAAAACCTTGGATTACAATGCGATTCATGAGGATATGTTAGATTTCGAGTCATATATCTTCACTTTATCTATCAAACGGTGTTGTGGAGGTGTCAGAACTTACATTTCCAAACGCCAACAGGACAGAATCAAAATACAGCAGGACTCCAAACAAAAGAAAGAACATTCCAAACCCCATCAGGCCGACGCCTATCTCTGCAAACCCAGCACATTAAACAAATATATTAACAAGTACTTCATTATTGATGTCCCATGTATAGGAGCAGCCATATAATCTTATTTGTTTTCAATATTTCAGTAAACACAGGCTTATTACCCTCCCATGTTGTCCTTTCACAGAGCTCATTTATAAAACATACAGCCTCATTATGTACAGGATGTAAAACAGGAGCACTTACTCTGAAACTCTGTGATGGCCGCCATGTTGACATCAAAGTTCTGGTTGTGACATGTGACCTTTGGGCCAAAGTAAACAATCATTAACCCTCAGTGACGTCATGATGTAGACACAAGTCACTAACGGTTGATTATATAGATGAACATGTGAGGGTGAAATCAAACAGTGATTATAGATATAATTAAAATAGAGTAAATACATAGAAATATACACACACTGAATTAAAACAAATTAAATTCATGGGGATGTATGGCACCACCTGCATAAGAAAGCCACATCCTGTCAGACTTCAGACGGTAAGCAGGGCAGGGCCTGGTTAGTACTGTGATGGCAGACCTCTGGAACACCAGGAGCCACAGTGGGGCAGCTGTGGCTGTGAAGTGCTAAACTCTTGTTGTGTCCTTAGGCAAGACACTTCACTCACATTGCCGAGAATGAGTCTGGTGTGTGTTGAATGGTTGGTGGTGGTCGTAGGGGTCAATGGCACATAATGGTTGCTTCACTTCTGTCTGTCCCAGGGCAGCCGTGGCTACAGTAGTAGTTCAACAGGCCTGTGTATGAGGTTGAATGAATGATGGCATGTGAAGCGTATCTGAGTGTCCAAAAAAAGAAAAGCATTATCATTATCATTATCAAAAGACAATTATCATTGTCTATTATTTCGAGAATCTTTTTAAAAAGTATTACATTATAAGTATAATATATAATGTTTTTTGAAATGCCACATGTTTCATCAAAACCATTGACACTGAGTTATTATGAGGTTGCAACCAACAAAGAATCAGGTCTTTATTTGATGACATTGCACATTCTAGAACGTGATATTTCAGATCAGGCTTTGAATTAAATCCAAGACGCCAACAGTTTATCCTTCATCATTTTTTCCTTTTTCAATTGTTACTGACTTTGTAGTTTATTTACTTTGTGTTAGCTTTGTGTAATCAATAATCCTTGTTTTGATAAAAAGAAATTACTGTGGACAGCCATACGCTCATTTACTGTGTCCTTGTTTTAAGGATACAAAAGTTAATTCAAGTTACTCTTCAGATTTGGAGAGAACGCCGAACGTAAGCACAGGTTCCTTTTAAAGCTTCGACAGGAAAGCTCTCTCCCCGTTGATTCAATGTGCATTTGAGACACATACTGCCCAGATAGCAAGCGGATGTGGGCCACATGTGGCAAACATGTGGGTCGCATGGCATTGTTACGGCCCAAATGAAACAGATGTCAGCCAGATGTGGGCCACATCAGGCACACTATATGTGGCCCAAATATAGCAAATCAAACATGGGCCACATGTGGCAAATATATGGCAGTTCTGTAAATGAAAAATGGTGGATGAAACAGATGTCAGCCAGATGTGGGCCACATCCTGCATACCATATGTGGCCCAAATATAGCAAATCAAACATGGGCCACATGTGGCAAATATATGGCAGTTCTGTACATGAAAAATGGTGGATGAAACAGATGTCAGCCAGATATGGGCCACATCCTGCATACTATAAGTGGCCTAAAAACAAACATAATTGGCAATTTGTGGCAAATTTCCAGCAAATCTTGGATGCCAGAAGATCCCTGTCTTCATGTCTGTTGTATTGTTGCCATTTTGTTTTATTTTCTAATCAACACAATGGTTGTTTTTGGGTTATCATTTATTGATAGACCTTTCTAATATGGTATTACTTATTTTTTGGTGTTATCTTGTTCCACGATAACACAAAAAAAGTGATAAAATGTTGTGTTGTTATATACAGATTATATTATTGATTTGTTCGCATATGTATCAAGGTTTATTACGAGGAATGGCGGAAAAAGCCCAGAGAAAAAAAAAACTTTTAGTAGCCGCGCAGCTTGTGCCCAGATGCATTCAAAACTAGTTGAAAACTGGTTAAATTCATTAATATTACAGGACAATTTTGTTTTAGCCTAGCTTTAAGTTAATTACTATTTTGTCAATTTTAGAGCTCTATAATGTTTATTTATTTGATACTTTTAGCATTTCCTTAACATTTAGTGTGTGACCTAATGAGGGCGCCATAGAACCACCCATTTGAAAGTCCCATTGTTGCAAAACATAATTGTAATAATTTATCCCTTTATCGTACATTCATACATACATAGTCACGTCTCGTTGAACACATGTATTTATTGGTTAAACAAATAAAGGACAGTGAATCTAATCAAGAATTAAACTGTCTGTGTTTGCCTCATTTCCGTGTGCTTTTGAACGCATCTCTCCACCTCCCTCCCTCAAAGAGCGCGAATTTTGACAAACGCCGTTGTTCTGTCGAGTTGGTCTACCCGTCGAGATGATCTGGCTCAGCTGTTAATGATGTAATGCAAACCTGCGCATGCGTGTCTCACGGCAGCCGAAGCAATCCAAGATGGCGGACATGTAGTCCGCGAATTTCTTTAAAAGTTTAATACAAACGAATTAAGACACGAATGTCACTTTTAATGCAATTTGAGGCGAGATGTTGATGGTTCCACGTTGTGATATGTGTGTTTTAAGAGTAAGAGTTTCGTGTAAAATTTGTTTTAAGCAGTACACTGCTCCTGTGAAACTACACTGCTGCTGTGTGATCGCTGTCCCTGAGTTGACTGCTGCATACGTCTGGCCCATGACGCGTCCTGTGACTGGTCTGTCGGGTTGATAATGGAAAAAATAAATTACATTTTATGCATGTATCATACTGTATTCAATATGATTAATAATAGTGCGTTCAAACGAAATATTTAATTAGATTGAGTTTCTTCCCCATTCTGGCGGGTTGCTGCGCATGCGCAAGTCAGATTTGGGCACACGAGCAGTGTAGTTTCACAGGATCAGTGGACTGCTTAAAACAAACTTTACACTAAACTCTTACTCTTAAAACCGACATATCACAACGCGGAACCATCAACATCTCGCCTCAAATTGCATTAAAAGTGACATTCGTGTCTTAATTCGTTCGTATTTAACTTTTAGCAGCTTTGGCTGCCGTGAGACGCGCAGTGCTGGTTTGCATTACATCATTAGCAGCTGAGACAGATCATCTAGACAGGCAGACCAACTCGACAGAACACCGTTCGAACTGACCGCAACTGATCTCTGCTCTGATTCTGCTTCTCGAGTTCTTACAGACACTGACCAGACCGGTAGTTTCTTGTACTTCTTTTTTGGGTAAGTTAAAGCTGCACTAACTGACTTTGGGATTTTGAAGCCACAGACTCGCTGGCCTCTCTCTTTCTGCTCCCCTCCCCGCACCCACGAAGCTATTGCCCCCCACACACACCCACTGTTGGGATGAAGCTAGGGTCTCCCAATATGGATAATACAAGAATATGGATTTACACGTCACACAATCCGCGACCCGAAACACATTCTCTTCCTTGTTTTCATCAAAACTCACTTACTTCGTAATGAATACGAAAATAAAGTCAGTTAATGCAGCTGGAGACGTTTTATAATGATCATTATTAGGATGACCTAACGCTATAACCAGGTAGTTATACTTCGCTGTAGTGGCATTATCATAAAATGCAGAGTCAGCAAGAACACCTACAATAACTAGAAACATACAATATTAGTTTCACATTTAAATGAACACCATTAAATCTTCTTCAACTCATACTGAAATACTGCAGCAAATAGCCAAAATAAAGTATGAATGATAAATTGATTATATAATATTTGAAATGTACAGTTACATTTCAGGTACAGTTTTTTTGTCATTCTTACCATGTTAATCTTTAAATAGTAAAACTAATAATAAATGTTGCATTACATGCTGTGAATATTTTTCATTTGTTTATTTTTATTTTCTTTACAGAGTGGTTTGCTGAAACGCAAGTGGGCAACAAGACAGGTTTGCTTGGTTTTATGCAATGGAGAAAAAACAGTGGACTGTGTCTAGAAGCAATTTGTGAATCGAGTATTTGAGGATGAAGAAGCTGAAGCTGGCAGTAGTGAGCAACTTCCCGAAGCTGCCTTCAATGAGCAGGATAACACCAGTGATTGTGGTGAAATGGTGTTTGGGGATCTTGAATCAGACTATTCCTCAAACTATGATACAGAGAGTGAAAGTGAAGGAATGAGTGATGATGATTGTGATGAGCATCCTTGTGATTTGGCAACATCTCTGAGAAACTGGGCAACACAATATGGTGTGTCACTGATTGCTTTGTCAGCTCTGTTGACAATATTGAAACCACATCACCCTTTTTTGCCTCTGGATGGCAGGTCACTGCTTAGAACACAAATTAACCATAGAGTTGTTTCCCTGGCTGGTGGATCTTTCTACTACTTTGGCATAGAGAACATGTTCAACAAAATGTTTCAGAAGCTCACCACAGTTGTTCCAAACAATTACACATTTAAATTGCAGCTAAACATGGATGGCCTCTCACTATTTAAAAGTTCAAATGTACAGCTGTGGCCAATTTTAGGCACTCTTTTGGGTTACACCCATCATCCATTGTTAATTGGTATTTTTTCTGGTGTCTCAAAACCAAAATCATTGACAGATTATTTGAAGGATTTAGTTTTGGAGTCACTCAGCCAAGGATTTGTTGTTCAGGGCAAGACATTCTTTTTGACTGTGGGCTCAATCATTTGTGATGCCCCAGCAAGAGCTTTCATAAAGGGAATAAAGCCACACAACGCATACAGTGGTTGTGACAAGTGTGAACAGCAAGGTCTCCCAGAGCCTGTGTCTCCCAGAGACACAGGCTAAATTAAGAACAGACCACTCTTTTATGCATGGATTAGATGAGGACCATCATGTTCAACCATCCCCATTATGTGATGCATCGGTTTCCATGGTCAGTGGATTTCCACATGACTACATGCACCTAGTGTGTCTTGGGGTAGTGCGTCGTTTGCTTGATTTGTGGATGGGGAGTTCGGGCAAGTTGGCATATAGAATTCCATCTAGGCAGGTTTCAGTCCTTTCTCAAAAACTGGTTGCTCTCAAAGGAAATGTGCCTACTGAATTTGCACGACGGCCAAGGTCATTTGAACATAGACTACGATGGAAGGCGA